TTCCCAAGGAAAGTCGCCCAAAGGTACGAAGTAAGTATACTCCCCAGGCAGGTTGTACTGGACAATAAGGGACCAAAGCCTTTCAGGCATCATAGTGGAAGGTCCGAACTTATCTGTTACTCAACCTCGGCGGGAGGTGGATGCCAAACTACCCGATGTGACTCGGTATACGGGCTCGAACTCGAGCTCTTCCTCGAGCTCTACCTCGGGCCCCGCCTCGGACTCACTAAGGCCATCGGGGGCAGCAGCTCAGTTCGTAGAACCAGCGTCTGACCCCCCCAGAGGGCTGTCCGTGCTACTAAAACTAGACATCGAAAACAAAGGCTGAGGACTCACCAGGAAAAGCTATCGAACTACAGATGAGTGACGCGAGCTCAAGGAACAAACGCTGAAGGATAATAGAGGAAAGTGACTGGGGTCCCCCCACTATTTAAAGCCACTGTACCCGCGCATCAGCGGCCAAGATCGAAACCATCCAACGGCTCCCCGCAAAGTCAGTTGCGCGCTCCCCAACGAACAGACACTTTGACGTGCATGTTTGAAAATTCAAAATTGTTTGGCGCACACGTTCAAAAATTAAAAAATTTGAAAATCGTTGGCGTGCGTGAGCCACACACAGTCCGGGACTGACCCCTGGTCGAGCCAAGCCAACCTCGGTTGTGCTGAGAACACAAGCAGACCGGATCGCGCATTCCTGATCAAGGACAAAGTGTCCCGAGGCAAATCCACCTGTCATCCCGTGTACTCCCCACATCAGGTCAAGACACCGAGCACGGGGAGTGGGGGGCAATTGATGGAGGAAGATTTGACCCGACCCCTCGGCCATGCGACACGTGGATGCAGCCGAGAGTGACCTAGCAGAAACACTAGCTCGACACAACAGCATGCCCACAACCCGAGCTCCGAACTAAAGAGCCGAGCTCCCTCGAAGGAACCCACAACCCGATCTCTGAACTAAAGAGCTGAGCTCCCTCGAAGGAACCCACAACCCGAGCTCTGAACTAAAGAGAGTCGAGCTCCCTCGAAGGAACCTGCAAACCGAGCTCCGAACTAAAATGTCCCGAGCTCTCCCTTTGAGGTCCTGAGCCTCACAAGCACCAAAGGCAGAAAACCCGAACTACCCACCTAGGGGCAGTTCGGGCCATACTCCTGTCCGAACTCGAGACTTCACATTAAAAGATCACTTCGGCTCTAAATCGCCTGACTGAGCAATAGTACCTGACGCCTAGGAGATCGTACATGGAGGCGACGCACCTGAACGATCAGAGGACTGACACATGACAGCCGCCATCCAACGGCCACCTGCCACTGCCATCCCAGACGGATAGAGGCGGCCCTGGCAACTGGCAGTGGAGGTTATGACACCCGAACTGGCAGTTGACAGAAGGAAGTGACCCGATCTGGCAGAGGTAATGATGCGCGAACTGGCAGAGGCATGGAAGTGAGTGCACAGGGTGATTATAAAAGGCCCCCATCTCAAAAAGAAGAGGGTATGTGATTCTTGCATTTTCTGGTCTTAGAATTCCTCATTTTCCTTGCCTTCTGAAAGAGCACTAACTTGAGCTTCGGAGTGTTCCAACCGGGTTCCTCCCCGAAAGTTTCCATTTTCTTCCTTGTTTCAGGCACCTCCGATCTTGTTAGAAGCGAGGTAACTGGCAGCTAGGACCGACCGGATTGCGCATAATCAGGAGGGATTATAATTAAGTGACCATTTGGGAAGTCTGAACTGAAGTGCAACAACTTCCGGCTCTTAGAGGTGGGTTTTATTGAATTGACCGATTGATTTGATAAACTGGATTTTTTTTAGTTCAGTTTCTTCGATTCGGTTCGATAGCAACCGGTACACATACAAAATAGCGAATCCTGAACAACATCAAGTGGTTCAGGCAGATTCCAAAATCTATGTGTGGATGGTTCTTGGGATCCAATATTATTGGTATATCTATCTTCTCACTTTTTAGTGTTTTTTTGGGGCAGCCGAGGGAGAGACTTGTCTGGCAACCTCAGCAACAGACACTGAGACACTGGGCCAAGTTCTGGGCAATCCCCCTCAGATCTATGCTTTTGTAGATGCCGAATTAATGCTACAAAAGATTCAAAGTCCAAGAATATGCGTTATCTTGGTCCAAACAGATCCTCATAGCTAATTAATCAAGCTAGATCTATGAAATGTTCAGTTTAATATGTAAATGAACCTCTGCATATGGTGAATGTGTGATAGTCTCGCTAGGCTTTCTTCTTTGTGTTCTTTTTGGTTATATATATATATATAATTGAGGCTCAGTTTGGAAGGAGTACAAATGCAAACTTGTACTGTATAAATGCAAGTAAAATAATACAAAATACAAGGTTTTGCACTCTATATAATTGTATTTGTTCCTTCCAAACTGAACCTGAATGTTTATACAAGTGTTTTGATTTTAATAGTCCAGCATAAGAATCCAGGTACTCAAGAATTGAGTCCCAATCTGCTTAGACTATGTTTGGTTTGATAGAAAAAGCAGGGAAAGGATGGGAAACGTAAAGAAACTCATACAAAGTTTGTAAAGGTTTCCCCACCTTTCCTTTCCTTTCCCTACTTTTTCCTTCAAACCAAATACAACCTTATATCCACAAGACACTACAGCCATACATTGGGAACGTCTCCCATACTTAGTATGTTATAATTCATAGGGAGATGTTTCTGATACACAAATGTAGCATCATTGTTGTAGTAGTAGAACTGAACCAACCAATCAAGAGATGGACTTGGCCAAAACCAACCAATCAATTTATATCATTGTCTTGGCAAAGGGTGAGGAGAAATGAAGAGAGAGATGGAAGAGATAAAATCTAGGTAACTCAGATCTGCATCCCCGTAGCAAGATTTTTAAAATCGAACCGGACAACAAACTGGTTAGGGGTTCGATACTCGGGCCGAACGGTTTGACCGTTTGAACTAAACGGATGACCCGTTCTGACAAAAAAATTACAAAAATTTAAAAATGGCTAAACCGTTGGATGGTTCGAACGGTTTGACTGCCCGAGTTAACATTTTGTTGACCAAATCAACGGTTTTTGGGGAAATAACGGTTCTAGGGTAAAATAGAACTGATCATGTGACCGGTTCCCAAATTTTCGGTCCAACCGTCTGGTCTGGTCCGGTTTTGAAAACCATGCCTAATAGAGGTGATATGAACTCATCTATATAACTTTCCCGATTTCTTCCTAAAGACAATTATCTTTTTTTCTTTTTTAATTAAACAAAATAATTCAAACAACTAATCACCTTTAAGACTTTTGACACTCCTTATAAATACATCATTAGTTATGCTGTTAACTCTCTCCTTCAATGACTCATGCCATTGATATTCCTTTTAATTGCATACAACACATTAATTATATTTGCATTAAATTGTAATTATTATTAAAGATTAATTAATCAACCATAATAAAAATAATTTAGTAATTTACTTAAATAAAATAAAAATAATTATTAATTATTGTTATAGATAAAAATATTTTTTATTAATATAATAAAAAGAATTTAATTAATAAAAGGAATAAGATAAATAAAAAACTAATATAAAACTAATACAAAATTATCAAACAATTATTGGTTTTATAATTAAATTTTATTAATTTAAAACCAACTTAAGTTCCACTAAAAATAAAAATTTATATAAATTTCATAAGGAATTTAAATTTAATAAAAACTTAATATACTTAAATAAATTCAATTTCTACTAATTTTAAAAATTAATAAAAATATTACTTTTAAATATAGTTTAATTATTTTAAAATCAATTTAAATTCCATTTAAAAAAAGGAAAATTATAAAAACCTCTTTGGGTTTTCTAACAATCCTATGAAGCTCCCCAATGTTTTGACCTTAACAAAACCTCCCCTATTGTTTTTGATAAAAGATGCAAATGCCTTCCTTTCGTTAGCATTCCAAATAAAAAATGTTGATGTAATGCATTAGTTCTACTTCACTTCGGCCTTTTTACTTTATTTTGTCCAAGAAGAGTAAGGAGAGTTTTTCTTTGAAAGTTATCTGAACAAATAAATTAGTAAAAGGTAAGGTCAAAACTTTAAATTATGAATGATAGTGCATTAACAATGATAATACTTCAATGTCTTTGTTATCGAAAAGCCAAGGGAAAGATGGTATTTGCACTTTTTTTTTTCTCAAAACTATAGGAGAGGCCTTTGTTAGGATCCAAACACAAGGGTGGTTTATAGAATTGTTTGAAGATGATGCTTTTTTTTATAATTTACCAGGAAATAATACAAAAATAATAATAAACCAATAAAAATTAACAAAAAAAAGTTCTTTTACAATTTATCTAGAGTTCACTAAAATACAACTTAAATTATAATTGAATAAACTAGACATAACTCCATAAAATAATACTTGAATTGAAATTAAATAAACACCACTTAATTGAAAACGTCATAAAACTCCATCATCGATTTTGCTTATAAATAAAGCCAGTACAATGCACGGGTCCTGACCAATTAATTTGGTTAATAAAGACAAAGCAACCACAACGTACGCCACCAATCGAACAAAGCTCTCTGGCCTGACTATTGAGAATTGAGTGGTATCAAGTACCAACAACTGATGCATATGCATGCATCTTTTTCTGAACGGGGCATCCAGTTCCATGCATGTGAATGTTTCTTCAAGTGCCAAAGTGGGTCTTCGGATCAGATGGCTATTGGCCTCCACTACTTTACTACTTTTACTGATCGATTATTAAACCACAATAATACACCACTACTGGTACCCAAATTACCAGTTCTGGCTCGACCGGTCATATCATCAGTACCTTAATTTGTCTTGAATTCCAATTAATATTATTTCTGCATGTTTCAGGATCCTTCTTATAGCTATTTTCTCTCTTTGAACTCTGAGTTTTCAGTAACATCCATAACCCATTTACCCTTGTATAGTTTTGTATTAACGTAGGCCTGAAAAAGAAGTTTGGCTGTTGGGGACGTTTAATTACATCGCTGTTGTTGGTCCTTTTGCTTACGCCCAACCGCCAAAGTTTTCTCTGTATTATCAACTAAACTCCACTTCATTTTGTTTCCTCTTTCCATCGATTTGCTATTTCCGTCATGTGTAGTGTAGGACCCGTGATGCCAGCATTGCTCGCTATGGAACGTTCTACGACACTTGGCAACGCCGTCTATCTCCAGGTTTTCCTTCTCCATCCAAAACATCGTCCTCTTCTGCATGCTCCTCTACTCTCTCTCTCTCAACCACATCGTGCTTCTGTAGGTGTCAAACTATCCTCTCATTGCCTACTCACAGCGAGAGAGAGAGAGAGAGATTTTTGTCTCATCTTGCATTTTTTTTTCCTTTCTTCCTCTCTCTCTCTCTCTCATGCAGAGTTACTCATGGGTTCTTCTCTCTTCGAAAACCTCACCGACGCCGACGGTCATGCTCATGTCGTTTCCATATCGGTGTTCGTTGCAGTGCTCTGCCTTTGCATAGTTATCGGCCACTTGCTCCAGGAAAATCGATGGGTGAACGAGTCCATCACCGCTATTCTCATAGTAAGTAAACCACGATTACTCTCTTCTTTTTTCTGCTTGATTTCTTCCTTAACTATTTGTATATGTGAGATATCAAGATGAAGATTTCTTTTCTCGTAATTCTTGCCGAGTTTACTCAACATATAGTTCTTTAATAAGCAAGCTAAATTTCTTCCTCAATTATTTGTTCTTTTTTCCTAAGATAATTTAACTTCACAACCAAGCTCTTGCATGTCAAAGGTGCTGTAGTTTCCTTTCACAGACAGATTAGGTGTCTGGTAGCAGAGGCATCTCTGCTCAAGTAGAGCTATATTTAGGCCACACAACCCTCCGGCTCCGGCGGGGGTAGCCTACCTCCCAACACTACTGAAGGTAGGATTTGATCCCATGTCTCCGCTATCAGCAGCAGCAGAACAATGAATATAAATAATGCAATCTAATGTTTTGATTGCACTTCTTATGCACTTTGAGTGGTGATGATTCCAAAATGGATAACTTCTTTTTATTGGATCAATAACAACATTTTCATTAATTAGACTGTAAATATAGTACAATCAGGGAGATAAAAATTATTAACTCCCCCTACTGAGGCCAAAGCCCCATACAGTCTGAAATTACATCTGAGCCCAAAACAAAGCTTCCCTACCCACCTCACTCTTTGCTAACTCATCAGCAAATGGGTTAATTAGCAGAAACTGAACTTCACTTCCATGTCCTTGACTAGTCACTTAAATTTTTTCTTTTCATTTCTATACCCCCATAGACCAGCCTTATCTTCTTTCAGCCACCCTACTACCACCTCGCAATCCCCTTCAAACGAGTCTTCTGATATTCATCTACTTCGCTTTTTGGACACCTTCCATAGCTGTGCAGATCTCAGCTCTGAGAGAGTCCCCCGTTCCTATTGGGCCTGAGAATAGAGATAAGACAGTCCCATTCTCATCCCTAAACATGCCCCCAATACCTGAGAGTCTTGGATTCCCTATGCTACTCCCATCAAAGTTTAGTTTTATGAAGCCGGATGGTGGGCGAATCCATGATAGTCTCAGGCCTGTTTTGATCTGTTTACAATTAGCAATCTCACCCCACTTTCTAAGCAAGTCATCCATAGTGAAATCTCTAAATAGCTCTGAGAATTTCAACCACTGTATTACCTTGAAATGGATCAGGTCTATCAGGTCTTCAGCCCTCCTCTATTTTCTAGAAAAAATCCTTGAATTCCTTTGGGCATTTCCACATAGTCCTACCTTTTTTCCACTGCCACTTGAAGAAGGAAGAAGAAAATAACATTTGCAAGTTCATAGGAGGGAGCCAACTGCAACCAAAAAGGAAAAGTGCCCATTCCCAAATCGCTCTTGCATACTGGCAAGAGACCAACATATGGAAACCAGTTTCCCCGTCGGCTTTACAGAAAACATACCAGTGTGGAGATAAGCATGTCTTGGATCTCTTTTTTTGAAGCAGATCACTAGTGTTGACTCTTTCCAGAAGCGTTTCCTAACAAAAACTCTCAACCCTAGGAGGAATTGGCTTACCCCAAATCTCTTTGATAGGGAAAGGAGGGTCCAAGGAGCTGGTCGGCTCAGTCAAGGTTTTGAAGAAAGAAGCAAAAGAGAACATGATTGGGGGGTTGGGTATCCAAATTCTGGTGTCCTCCTTTGTGGGATCCAAGAAAATAAACTCAAGGAGACCAAGGAGAGACGAAATGTTGTTCAGGTCAGCATCTCTAACAGCCTTTCTTAACCCCAGATTCCAACCAAACCCAAAGTTGGAAGAAGATGGGACAAGGAAGGAAGAGATAGGCTCATTTTTTCAAAGTAGAGAGGGCATATAAAGATGGAAATCGGTCCTTCAAAGGGGCATTCCCTAACCAAATTTGTTCCCAAAACTTTATGGAATTTCCAAAATGGATAACAGTCTGATTACACTTTTCTAAAATGGATTTTTGTTTGGTCAAGCAGAAGTAATTTGTATGCTGCCTACTTCTAACCATGAAAAAAATATTATAAGTCATGAAGATCCTTGAGGCACATTGGTCATCACCTCAAAGTTTATGTTTTTTGGTTTACCCTCAACTAAATTTTATTTTCTGTCCCCCCTCCAAAAAGAAAAAAGCAAAAGCAAAAATTAGTTTAATAAACCCTGCCTGGGTTTTCTTGTTATTTATTGTACCTTTAGTTTAGATCTTTCCCTTCTATCATCTACTTAATTGCCAAGGCGGCCATAGATATTGGTCACATGCCTAAATCTTCCAAAAAGAAATAAATTAGATTGTTCTTTTGGGAGCATGCTAATACATACTGTTCTATTTGCATATAAAAGATTTATCCTGATGTTCACCATGGGCTTTCCCCGGCCCTTATGTCCTCTTTGGTTTTGTCTTTTAATTTAGGGATGCATAGCTGCAACCATAATCTTGCTCTGGAGTAAGGGCAGAAGTTCTCACATCCTGATATTTAATGAGGAGTTGTTCTTCATATATCTCCTGCCACCCATAATCTTCAATGCTGGGTAAGAAAAAAACCACTAACATGTTCTGTTCCCAAAATAAGAAGACCTTCTATTAATAATCTTCTCCTAATGCATGGAAAACTCATTTGGGTTTAGTATTTCTACAGATTTCAAGTCAAGAAGAAGCAGTTTTTCCATAACTTTTTAACCATTATGCTATTTGGGGTTGTAGGCGTTTTTGTTTCTTCAGCCATTATTGCAGCTGGTAATAGTCCACTCCTTCAATACTGTGATCATCATCTTTTCGGTTCCAAAATTAATACATTTAACCACAGTTCTTTTTGATTGTTGAAGACTTGTCTAAGTATGACTGTTTTATTTCATGAGTGTTCGTTTGATGTTTTCTAAACTGCCACTTCTTACTGTCAATCTAGGTAGTTGGTTCTTGTTTCCAAAGATCGGTTTTGTTGGTCTACAAGCACGAGACTATATTGGTATCATTATCATCCTTTTTATCTTACCTAAATATGTTATGGCATGTCATTCCCACCAATTTGATTGTTCATAAGAAGTACACATTGCAATTGAATTTTTAATTTGTTATCTGGGTTCAGCAATTGGAACAATCTTCTCAGCAACTGATACTGTCTGTACACTGCAGGTTTGATCTTACTGCCATTTCATTTTAAATGCTATCCTATTTCAGGCATATAACATGGATCCTATCACTTTCTAAATTTGCACATAGGTCCTGCATCAAGATGAGACACCTCTGCTTTACAGCCTAGTCTTTGGGGAAGGAGTGGTGAATGACGCAACATCAATTGTTCTCTTTAATACAGTTAAAAAGCTCAATGTTTCTAGGCTTAAAGGTTGGGCAGCAGCCAATGTCCTCAAAGACTTCCTGTATTTATTTTTTATAAGCACTGCTCTTGGAGTTGTTGTAAGTCAAGATTCCATAACCTCTCTCTCTCTCTCTCTCTCATATAGCCCATTTCCTATTATTGTGGCATTCTAGCTAAGACTTTCACAATAAGGTACCATGTCTAAATATCCACTTTTTGAACAGAGCCCTTCATTTTGTATTATCTATTTGCATAATAAGTACTGTCTACTGTATCTACATTATGAATGTCATCCATAAAATTGCATAGAGCCTTGGTCCCCCCCTATGGCCTAGAAATCCCCTGTTATGTTTGGATAAGAAATATTTCTAGATTTCTTGTAGAATTTTCTTCAGCATTCATCAAACACCACCACCAAGGACCCTTTCTTTGGATCGGTACATTAGTAAGAGTATCTAGAGACCATCTAAGCAAGGTTATTTCTTGTTATAAATACTATTAATGTGCTAGTAATTCTTTAATTTTAGTTTTTTAGCAAATTATCTATATGTAGACATATGATTGTGATATTGGTTTTGCGATGTCCATATTTGATATTGTGAGTTACAGATTGGAACGTTTTTTTGGAAGAATATCTTCGAAGCCATCTTTTCTTGGTCTTTTCTTATGTTGATATATATGTTTGTCTCTTTTTGTAGGCTGGACTGTTGACTGCATATACTCTTAAAGCCTTGTATTTTGGTAGGTAAGTGATCTTTGTAGCTTTTATGCTGATACAGAAATCCTTCTATTTCCTCTGTTATTAAGGTGACTATTCAGATGCCATCTGTTATTTGCAGACACTCAACTGATCGTGAAATTGCTCTAATGATTTTAATGGCGTATCTGTCCTACATGCTGTCTGAGGTAAACATCTGATGTAGGAGTAAAATCGTCTAATAAAACTTGTATATCATCACTCATGCATAACTTTTAATCTTGAAGTTAATATCCTAATTTTACCTTAAAAATGTTCATTTCACATTTTGGTCTCCTTGATATCATGGGATGAGGCAAACATTTATGCTCACAAATCCCCCCTCCCCTGGCACATGCTCAGGTGGGAGAGGGAAAAATAAGTGGAAAGAATTTAAGTCATTGCATCACGTCTTGATAGTGAAACACCTTGGCTTTCCAAGCTGGGAAAGAACCTTTGTTGATGGAAGTGAAGTTTGATCATGCAGGAAAGATAAATTTCATGCTTTTTCATCCTTCTGCAATGTGCAGGCATAAATGAAGCTTCATGTAAAATGGTTAGTCATTGATGACTTAAAAAATGTCAGACTGATCAAACAGTTATTCTTTTCTGATTGGGCTGAACTTTCCAATTTGATGGTTTCCTATCTTGCTAGTTTTTGCTGGGATGCCCAATCCCTGTATGTGTCTCTTAAACTGAGGGTGGATGAGCAAGGAGGTTGTGCTTTTCTTTATCAACTAATTTAGAACTAAGATTAGTGTTCAGTGGTATCCTACACTTGAATAAGCAAATACAGCATTGTCAATCTTGTGTGTGTGCATCTTAGGCACATGTCATCACATTGTTCATCTTAATTGTATTTTCCATGTGCAGCTCTTGCACCTCAGTGGGATTCTCACAGTCTTCTTCTGTGGTATTGTCATGTCACATTATGCATGGCATAATGTCAGTGAAAATTCAAGAATCACAACCAGGCAAGTATGAAGAGATAGTCAGCTTTCTATATGTGGGCTTCAGGAACTCAGAGAGATTTAATACAGTGTTCTAGTTCTTCTAAGACATTTGGTCAATCTTGGTGGTTGGTTCCTGTTGATTTTGTTATTTTTCATTAACCAAAATTTTGATGTTCAAGCTACTTCACTTCAGAGATGATTGGTAAAACTTATTATGATATCTACTTTTTCAGGCATATATTTGCAACATTGTCCTTCATTGCAGAAACATTCATCTTTCTTTATGTTGGAATGGATGCTCTTGACATTGAGAAATGGAAAATGAGCAAGACAAGGTACACTTTTTTTTCCCTTTAAATATGCTTTCATTTTATTCATAATTTGGAAAAATAATAAATTAACCAGATGACTGGGATGACCTCTATTAGACATAGTTCGGCAAATGGACCAATTCCATTTCACAAGGAAAAAGTATAAGGCATGGCCACAGAACCTCCAAATGCATGAAGCATACAACCCACTCATTCGTATTTTACTTGTAACAATTAGATAGAGAGAGGTCAGTTGCTCCTAAACCCCTCGGTATCTTTTGGAGAAATTCAGCCTCAACATGATTCTAGAAAACTAAATTAGAATAACGAGGCAATAACAGAGAATAATAATTTCTTTTGGAGTCTTACCGTTCAGCTAAACCACCCTAAATAAGTGTCATTGAGCCTCTCAAGGTAAATCCAATATATAAGCCCCTTACAGCCTTCAAAACACAGTGATTGTGGCAGTTCTCTGAAATCTTTCTACAATTAGTAACAAGTTGATAGGTTCTGGTGCCATATGGCTTTCTCCTCTGATTCTTTAGATGACACAATCTGATTGATCATTTTTTAGACCCTATAAAAGTATGACTTAATGTGTGATACTCAAAAATCCATTCAAACAGTTGATCCTGTTTCTGTTTTTCTCTTTACCTTCACAAATTTTCTCTTGATTGTAGCTTTGGGACGTCAATGGGGATCTACAGTACTATTATCTTACTAATATTACTTGGGCGTGCTGCATTTGTATTTCCTCTCTCTGCATTATCCAATTACATGAACTCAAAAACTGAGAGGGTGCTAATTACATTCAAACACCAGGTGTGTATTTCCTTCTTTCCATATTTTACTAATCAATGATCTTATGAGTTGAAGTGACAGAAATCAGAACCATTTCGTGATCAAAAAGCATTTAACTTTATTGTTTTCAATTTTATCTAGGTTATAATCTGGTGGGCTGGGCTAATGAGAGGAGCTGTCTCTATTGCTCTGGCTTTCAATCAGGTCTGCATTGTTCTGAGACAATGTCACACACTTCATTACTCATTATTTGATTGATCAGATAAAATGTAGCATCCTTATATGATCTAACTAGTTATTATGTTCTATTTCTTTTCTACCATCTTGTGAAGTTTACATACTCCGGTGTTACCTGGGATCCGGTTTATGCCACCATGATCACCTACACTGTTATTGTTGTTCTCTTTAGCACGCTGGTGAGTATGCAATTTATAAATTCCTTGTAGTGTTTAATCAACTTCTGATTGGAAGATATGTTAACCAACTTACTTAATTAGACAAATCATACCACAGGTGTTTGGTTTCCTCACAAAGCCACTAATAAAAGTTCTGCTTCCTCACCGTGCAATGGACAAGAACCAACGCCCAGAACGTCGACAGAATGACTCTCCTAAAGAAGATGCTGCCAACCTCCCATTGCTTTCTTTTGAAGAATCTGCAACAACCAACATTGTCCGTGCAAAGGATAGCTTGTCCATGCTCATTGAAAGGCCAGTTTACACCATACACCGTTACTGGAGGAAGTTTGATGATTCCTACATGAGACCAATTTTTGGTGGGCCCTGTTGAGCATTGCATTTGCATTATGGAAGGAAGACTTGACTTCCTGGGCTTGAGAGATCACTCCATGCATTGTGTTAGAGATAACCAGAGTCTTGGTATGTATGATGGGCACCCAATCGATCGATCCTTAAGGGACCCGAAGCATAAACAATTTGTGGCACTAGTTGGAGAACCATCGTAGACCAAGAATGGATTGCCATTGTGAAAATTCCAAGGTTAACCAATCTTCCAAATAATGTCACTCATCCTTGGCCTTTCCTCTATGGCTTATGTTATGGGCAGCAGATTTCAGCATTTAGGCAGGCAGGCATTCACTACTTTTTTTTAAGTATTAGATATTTCGATGGATGGATTATGGATTATGGATTACGGTTATGGAATGCACGCAGTTGTAGGGTGGACTGAAGAAGGTGAAAATAACTTGTTGCCGGGGAAGAGATTGGTCAATGCTCTGCTTAAAACCAAACTGTCAACCGCAAATACAATGAAAATATCAAAATTCCATGCTTTCTTCGGTGGAAAATAAATGAATCAAAGCTAGTTCCGATACAAACGCAGGATGAAAAGAATACAATGGGATAACATGATTGTTAATATTAATTTAACCAAAGAGGATTCGAGTGAGAATGATCAGTTTGCTTTCCTGTAACAGTTCTAGAAGTATAACAACATCCATCAACTTTTTGGGAGCTTAATCAAGAAAACAAAGGGAATAATAGACTATATCCCTCTTGAGCAGGCAACGAGTTAATGTAGCACTGCTCAGCTGACAAGTCTTCTCAAGACCTCTTCAGCACGCTGCTCGAACTTTGGGAGAGCCCACTCATGTTGAACTATGTCTAGACTGTCTTTCTCTGCACTCAAGCTCTGAGAAGTACAATAGTAAAAAAAAATCACAAGAACATTAGTTTTAGGCAAAGCAAAGTAAGGGTTAAATGGGATAACAGATATTGAAACGGGTGATTGTAAATGTTTTCTAATTGAAAGCTTTTCCAGTCCTAGAGCAAGTGAAATGGGGGTTCTAAATTATTTGAACAGAAAATCAAATTTATAATGAAAATAGTGGCCCATAAATTGAGGGAATTTAAACGGTCAATAAAAACTCAAAATTAAACCACATTACACACAATATTCGGTGGTACCAAAAAATAGTAATGCAAAATAGTGATATTCCAAATAACTACGAAACCAAATAGCTTCGTTCTTTTTTTCTTCCTTTCTTTTTGTGTTCAATACATAGTCACTACAAAGAGGTAATTTTATCTCTTTCGCAATGTTGGACACATCTTGTTCAAAGCCTCAAAATACCAAAACTATGGGCCCCTTTGGGAGGACTTCAGCTTTGATTGAGCTGATTTCAATAAGCCACTTTGAAGTTACTAAACCAGTTTCACCCAAAGGTCAATTTCTTGGCTGAATGAAAGTGTATTCGGGCTTTCTTGATTTTTCACCAAACATAGCTTCTAGGCTTTCCATGCAGGGCCCACCTTGCAAAGCCAAAAGCTTCTCCGTGAAAGCCCTCCCCAATGGACACTATATTCATCAATATTGTGATGTTAAAGTATTAACAATTAGGATATCTCGGTCAGCCAAATTCCCAATGCCTCAAACTGAATATACTACCAAACTACATCTTAAGCTATATGGATGAAAGACAGCTTGTGGTCATCATATCCCTTCAATTTGAATATAAACAGATCCATGTCATGAAATATTAAATCATATCTCTAATTACATAGTTAAATGTTCTGTTTTCCTTTTTCCAATAAGGAATCTTAAGTATGGAATCAAAACTGCTTACTGCTACTTAAAACTATGTATAATATAGGAAATATAATACTATTGTTTTTTTTGGCAACTGGTGAAGTATAGGTGTTGGCACTTGGCATCAATCAATAATGTTAGAATTTCTTAGGTTAACCACCATAAAAAAGGACAAATAAAAGCACATACCTTTGTAGGGTCAAATCCAAATCCACTCATTTGCATCATTCTCTGTGTGTCATCAGTAGCTGCATAAGTGAAAATATATCAGTTTCTGTAACATCTAAAAATGCTCATCGTGGAGTTGAACATTACCCATAAACAAATTTATGTTTTATTTCTCCGGGTAAGTGGGGAAAAAAAACAAAGAAATATGTCAGACCTATTACAGCATTAGTGCTTACCATTTTCTTCTCCCAAAATGAGGCTGAATAGACCTCTTAGCCCAAATAAATTGAGAAAGTACCTGATGAAAACATAATGGTGAACCATAAAAAATGCTTAATCATATACAATCTCAACATCCTAAAGTGATTCAGTGGAAAAAAAAATCATAGAACAAGTATAAAATTGAAAGTAATATATTGTTTAAGGAACTAAAGCGATCTTCTAGTTAAGAAAAAATAAAGGTACCATGAACGGCTGCTGACATAGCTAACATCAACTGTGCTGAGGTCAATTCCATTTTGTAACATTGATCTAAATCTCTGAGTCAGTGGAAAGGGTATCTTTGCTGCAAAAGGAAAGGATAAATGAAGCCAGACCCTTATAATAACATCCATAACAGGAAATGCATAAAGGTACATGGAAGAGAAGATTATAGAACAGATGCACCAGGAAGAAATTGCTGGTAAGAGAAAAGTAACCAAATCATGGAATGGTTAAACTAATGGTTTAAGAGAAAGTACAAGGTATAGAGAAGCAATGAAAGAAAATGGAGCAATAACAGAAACTACATAAATTTGCATAACTGCCTATACTTATGATTTTGATGTAGAAAAGAAGAAATAAGAAAGAAAAAGTAAGAGATTGCATTTCAAAAGAAAGATTGACATCTCAAAATGGAAGAAGCTAAAGTATAATGAAGAAATATACCTGCTACAAATCCAGAGAAGAAAAAGTTGACCCACGCAAAAGTAAGAGTCTGAATATTAAAGGACAAAGTAGCAAAAGTTGGGTAAGTAATCCAATCTTAACAATCATGATAACCAGGATAGGTTCCACAGATTGCAATACCTGGGGTATTATCATTGAAAGGTTTTTCTTCATCATATCCATGGCCATGTTAGGATCAGAGAACATTTGTGCTTGTGCATTTGGCACCTGGCCCTTGGGTACATATAACAGACCATTCTCCTGCAATGTCAAACCGAATAATTTCAAGCAATGATGGATGCAGCATATCGCACCAGAACTCGAAAATGGATAAATTTAACAAACCAATTCTGTCGTGGTGCACATGAAAATCAAGGGTTATGAAGTCATTTAGTTTTGTTCTTTTTACAGTACTTGAAATTTGACATAAGTTGTGTCTCTGGATAGTTTGCAACTCCAGACAATGTTTCCATGGTCAGGGTCAAGGAGAAATAATTAGGTTGTGCCCCATGGTTCAGAGTTGAGTATACCAGCTGAACGCATAAACTTTCATTTAAAATGGTGCCTTCACTGGAATGCTTGTAAACATAGAAAAGTGAGGTGCCATGTTTACCAGACTGAAAATGTATAAACCATGGAGGACGACTACTTAGAAAAGAAAGCCCCGGAAAGGAACAAGTGAAAAAAGGAGTGTCCATACTAGGCAGGAGAAAAAGAAGTTTCAGCTGAATTTACTACTAAAAAGAGATATCAACCATGATAGAATAAAAACGCATCAAACAAATAAGCAGGAAATGAAACGCTTGAATAAAATAATAAACATTTTATAGGATTGATAAAGTACAAGAACAGAATTGCTGAATTGGTCATCGAAATTAGCGGTATAAAATTTACAGACAAGGACTGAAGAAAGTGAACCTCATTACTGAAATACGCCCTTCGAGCACGAAACGACTTCAGTGGTATAAAATTTGCAGCTGCTCGTAAACTCCTGGCCCTAATAACGACCTGTCTGAAATCAAAGACAAACCCTAAAGTCAAAATCAAAACTCTTTAAGTGAGAAAAAAGAATGAAAAGAAAAACGGGGATTATCGTCTGATTATGATTGTTCTATAAGTATTATTTACCCTTCTTTGACGACCTTGGCATCAGGCGACTGATAAGATCGCATAAGCTTGGAGACGAAGTAGCGAAGAATTCCAATCAGAACCATGACGACAGAGAGAGGGATCAAAACCCAATCTCTGATTGCCGTGTCCAAGACGAGATCTTCCGCCATTGGAGTAGAGTAGCTCGAACTCGATATGGAACTCGAACTTGAAATCGAAACGAATCACCGGGTCCTCTCTCTCTATATATATGTAATACTAGTAGGAACTATGCGATGATGCGAAGCACGGGTTTTGATTTTTTTTTTATGGCTAAGAACATCAACTTATAATATTTCTAATTAAGGTTTACCCCAATTTGAATAATCAATTTTCTAATTTTTCTAATTTACTAATTTTACTTATTTACTTAAAATAGAAAATTTATTAGTAAATTGTTAAATAATTTTACTAACTTTCTAGTTCTATTCTAGTAATTTATGATAACATTATTAGTTTTTTTTTAAATTATTAATTTACTAATTTTCTAATTTAATAATTTATGGTAACTTTACTAATTTACTATTTACCATAAATTTTACTAATTATTAACATTTTACTAATATACTAATTTCTAGTAGTTTAAGTGATTATTAATTTTATTGTTAACTAACTTTACTAAATGAGTAATTTTAAGAAGTTCACTAATTTTTGTTTCAGTAATTTAAGTAATTTTCTAATTCAATAATGTAAGTAAATTTAGTAATTTAAGTAATTTTCTAATTTAAATTGGTTCTCTTACTAATTACAATTATGCTATTTATAAATACACAAATAATTTATAAAAATTATTATTAAATTTCTAATAATATTTAAACTATTTATAATTAAACTAATAAGAACAAAAACAACAATAATTACACAAATTGTTTGAATAGCATTTTGTTCTAAAAAATAATTTAATAATTTCTCTGGAAAATAATTTTCTAATTTCTGAAAAGTAATATAATAATTTATTATGATTTTCTAATTTTCTAATTAAAAAAAGGAATTTATTTTGTCATTCAATAATTACTGAAAAGTATTGAAATTTTTTAAAAAATAATTTAATAATTTATTCTAATTTAGTAATATAATAATTTATTATAATTTTCTAATTTTTTAATTCAAAATAATAGAACTTATTTTGTTATTCAATTGAAAAGTATTGAATATTTTAATATATTTCCGAAATCCATTTATTATATTAATATTTATTTAATAATTATTTATTAAATAAGTGAGCTAGAATATTATGTCAATAATTATTTTTTAAATAATTAACTTGGAACATTATGTATATAATTTTCAAAATCATTATTAAATATTTAAATAATTTACAAAATGAATATTACATCATTTTCGAAAATAATAATGAAAATAAATAGTTTATGAGGTAAATAATTATTGGTTTTGAATTCTCCTAATTAATGGATTTGGGTAAATCAAAGTCGGAATACCTAGTTTAACCATATGAAAACAAAACAAAATATGGCCTTGGATCGAATCCAGGTCAGAATAACAAGATAACTGACCCAAAACACATCTGGATCGAATGATTCCGGGTAGAAATATCCATCTAACCGACCCAAAACACATATTGACCGAATTCGGGTCAGAATATCCAGATAACCCGACCCAAAACACCTCCTTCATCCAGTTATCGCTACAGTGGTGGCGACCACAGTGCGATACAGGGGCTATTTCCAATGTTTCTAGCAAAACTAACCCATAGCAGGGGCGGTGGTTTTTAAATCTCCCCTGCTTTGGTCCTTAATGTTGATGAATAACAGGGCTACCTCCGATGGGATTTCACGTCCAAAAATGATGTTCGGTCGCCGGAGTGATGCCGGCGGTCATTGTTTCTAACAAAATTGACCCATAACAGGGGTGGTGGCTTTTAAATCTCCCCTGTTTTGATCCTTAATGTCGATGAATAACAGGGTTATCTCCGGTGGGATTTCACGTCAAAAAATAGAGTTCAATCGCCGGAACGACGTCGATGGCCAATATCTCAGCAAACCCGACCTGTTTGGTAATGTTTTGGGGTAAAAAGCTCCCCTGTTTTGGTCCTTGAAGTCGATGCCTTATAATGGTTTAGCGTAAGTAGTTATGAAAGAGGTGGTGATCGGAGAGACTGGATTCAATTAATATTCTCGGAATACAACGATGTTAGAGAAGCCAAATTTCAAGTGTAAAGGTCGATGCTCTGCTCTTGTTTGGAATCAATTTGTTGTGTTGTAGCAGAGAGACTGATTCAGTTGAAATCTTTAAACTCGGTCGCAGAGAGAAGATTTTAAGTTTGATTCTAAGAATCGTATTTTGGAGTAAATTACGACTTAGAATCTGTTTGTTTCGAACTGGACTCTTTATTTGTGTAGTAGGAAAATCTATCGAATGGATTAATTACATGGAACTAAAAAATTCAAAATTCAAAAAATATAGACAATTAGAAAGTGGATTTTGGGATGAGTTTTGAAATTGGGAGTGAAGTGCACGTGGACTGAGTTGCTTTATATATATAGAATAGATGTGTGTATATGCACATGATTTGCACGTGGCAATTTCAAATGACAACAACAATAACAATATATATATATATATTGGTCATTTATTGCCTTTCAATCTAAAGATTTGTGTCAAACTTTCTTACTCTATAACTTGTATCAATATTTTCAATTTATTGTGCTAATTAAACCATTACTTACCTAGAGATCGATCAAACTAATTGAATAGTTAATTGACCAGGATTTAAGGTTCATTTACCACTAAATTGCTTATCTATAAAAAAATCATTGACTTCGCCAACAACATGGTAATCTAACTAATCAAACCATTGAATCATTTGATTTATTTAATAGAGTGATAGAATAGTGGTTTCCATTATTTAACAAACATGATAGTGGTTTCATTGCTAAGGCAGTTTTAAATTTTATATTCAATTTCTATTATTCATAAAGATTCTCATTTATCATACCTAAAAATCAATTTTGTTTCCAAATCGATTTTGGATATATAAGTTTTTATACTATTAAAATTGCTATTCACAAATTTAATTAATGAAATTTAATGATGAGAAACAAGAATACATTAAACATATGATTCAATGAGAGGGAATACAAGTTACCTTAAATATGAGACTTAATGAGAGAAAATAGAATGAAATGAAAAATAGCATTCAATTTACAATTTATATCTTCATAATAGAGAGAGAGAAAGAGAGACCAAGTTATTTGTAATTCATCTACAAACCAACATGTAACTCCAAGTGTCTAGAGTAGTTAAAATTGTCTAAATATTCCATGCAATTTTAATTACAACTTATTAAGTTTTGTGATTTATAAATGTCTATTTAGACACATTGTGAGTTATAAAAAAAAATCAGACATGTTATATAGTTATTTAAGAAGCATAAAATAATTCCATTATTGCCCTCTTATACAATTCAACAAGAAGTTAACAATGGAGGGTTCAATTTGTCATATTCTGATCTCATTTTAAACAATCAACGAAATACTTTATTTGCTCTCAAATTCAAATATGAAAGCATTAACACAAAGGGGAAATAATAGATTTTCCAGAAACTCCAAGGCTTTTTAGTGATTTTTCCAAAAATAAAAGTGTCATTACTTTGTAAAGCCTTTTCTTTTCCTACAATTACTCATTTGCCTTCTCTTGGGCCTCAAAAGAATTGACTTTGAATTTTATCAATCTTTTTGAGGGTATGTTCATTTGAACATCATTTTAAATAGATGATTTACATTTTTTTTTTTTTTTTGCTCCATGGGGCTACACAACGGGGGGTGGCCCATTCCCCAAACCCATAACCTCCAACCTAGGCGCAGGTGGCATGGTTTTTGAACCATTGTTGACCCGAACGGTCAGACCGTTCGGCTCGAGAACCGCCCAGGCAACTAGTTCCACTCCAAACCCAGTCCCTGGCCAAAAACTGTTGAATCGATCAACCACCCGTTGACCTGGGTAGTCAAACCGTCAATTCGTTCAATAGTTTTTGGTCATTTTTAAATTTTAATTATTATGCTTTATTTTTAAATTTATTTTGTCAAAACGGGCCATCCATTCGAACCGAATAATCGAACCATCAACCCGAAAAACCATTGGTTAGAATGGTTTCGGTTTTGGGTCGTTTTTTAAAACATTGGCAATTGGGATTTGACTCCAAGTCTCTTTGCTATAACCACCAAGAGACCTTACTAACTGGCTAGTTGGCACCTTGAAATAAAAAGCGCTAGCGCAGCTAGCAGCAAGATGAAAAACGGATGCACGAACCACATTCAAAACTTATTTGATAAGGATTAGTCTTTCATCTTTAAATAGAGTTTTCAATTTCCAACCCTAAACTTTCTTCTTTATTTTACTTGTAATGTTATTCAAAGCCTTCTTATCAATTATGCCTTGAATAATTGGAGGACCCAAGTATTTTTCTTTGTGTTGTCGATATTGGGATGGCTATAATCTTATAAATCAATTTTAAACCCTATTTCACAATTTTTTTAGAAAAAAATTGACTTTTGAAATGGATATTTCAGATGAGACCCTTTCAAATATCTTGAGATTGGGTAGAAACTACTTATAAGCCAATGGAAAAGCTAACCCAAGAACCATAATCAAAATTGTGGAGCCACACTCAAAATCCACATCTAGCTAAACACTCCATGAAATTTCAGTTATAATTCATTATTAATTAAAAGAGAGATAAATACATCCAACTAAATACTCCATGAAATTTCAGTACAATTCATTTAAGTAATTCATTTAAAACAATCAACAAAATATCAAATTTGTCCTCAAATTCAAATCTAAAAGCATTAACACAAAGGGGCAAATAATTGTCCAACTAAAATTCTAGAAATTTTTAGGGGCTATTCGTACTTTTTAAAGTAGTATAGATATATATATGGCTTTGACAATTGTCTAAAACCTCCCCGTTAACTTTCCGTCACAGTTAACATGTGACATCACATGATTGATATGTTTTTTAAAAAATCCTAAAATACCCTTTTTTGATAAAATTATCTAAGCCCACTTCATTGCTTCCCCCTACAATTGCCGCCAACTCGAAAGGAACGTGGATTTTCATCAAACATCCCATTGACGCCATCTATGCCTTTGTCTCTGTCTCTGTTTTCATCCTCTCCAACAACCCCAACTCCTTTGTTTTCAGGCAAGATTCTTCTTCGCGGATCCAGTAGCTCCTACGCCTCCCGCTCGGCAAGAATAAATGGCATTAACAACACTC